CTTCTAATACAGACCTGCTATCCAAAGGCTGCATGTGATGGGGGTGGGGTAGAGCTGCTTATTTACCAAGTGACCTTGGATAAGTCATTTCCTCCTTGAGGTCTTACCTTGCCTTGTTTCCAAGGTTGAGGGTTGGGCCCCGATTCAGACACTGCCAATTCAGACACTTCTTGGACCAAAGCTAGTTGCCCTCCTCTATTCACCTCCTCGGAAATCTCGCCAAGCCTGGGTCCCTCCCTGACCTCCAGACTGGAGCCCAGAAGAGGCTGTGCATCCTCAGAGTGAAGGAAGTGAGAGCCCCAAGTTCGGTCATACAACCTCACTAATAAGAATATCCCTACTTATTACATACATTATCTCATGCTGCCTGGATTCAAAGCCCTGCTCTCCCCCTAGCAGACTCACCTTAAGCTCTCTGAGCCTCAGTTTCCCTTCTGCAGAAGAGACATGGCAATAGTGACATCTACCTCAGTGGGCCGTTCTGAGAACGAAACATCACATTTAAGCACTGTGTCTGGAAGGGATGCAGGGCTCAGAGATGTCCACCACATACCTGAATATAATTATTATCTCTGCTTTTCAGATGACAAAATCAAGGCTCCGAGAAGGAAGTAGCATGCAGTGAGTAAATTAGGACATTATGATTCAAACCCAGGTCGTTTGATTCTGAGGCTGAGATGCTGACCATGCTCAGGGCCTCCTGCAGGGATGGGACTGCTGCCTGCTGAAGCAGGCTCCTCCTGACTTTCCAACAGCACCTGCCAATGCCTGAAAGGCCAAGTTTCTTTCTCCCAGCCAGGGCAGTTGCATTGTTTAACCAGGGCTGGGGTGTGGAAGACCTCTCTAGCTCTTCTCATAATCACACTGTAAATTAAAATCCCCCTACCCCTCTTGCATTTGCAAGGCAGTGCCTCATACAGAACGGACACAGGGTCAGGAGCAGCCTTAATGCTCCTGGGCTGAGCTCCAGGGCTGAGCTACAGTTTGTCTGGTCCTGGAGAGAAAAACCGGAGCCTGGAGGCTGAGACCTGGCACTGTTGTGCTCTAGGGTCATGGGCTCATCAGGGCACCTGTCTGGGGCCTGGATGGTCACAGAACTAGAGCTGGGAGGGACACAGGTCCAGGAACGGAGACAGAACCGGGAATGGGAGGAGCAGAGGACCAAGCCTTGGGGGCCCAAAGATGGGGGGACACTGAGCCGTGGCTCTCTCCCATCCCTCTAGTCCAGCCCTGTTCCCACCGCCGCTCTCAGCATTTCTCTCTCTGGCTCATGGATCTCCACCCTAAAGGAGGAGAAAAAGGGAGGAATGGGGGAGAGAAAGCCGGACGAAGCGGTCCGCTTCGCCAGGTTAAGTAGTTCTTGTTCTATGAATGAAGGTGATGTGGGTTCAGGGTGGGGGAGGCAGGCGGAGGGAAGCACTGGGCAGGGCAGCCTGGGATGGGGTTGCCATGGGAACAGCAGCCTGTCAGGAGCCCTGCCTTCAAAGCTGAGGTGCGGGTGTTGCAGGTTCCTAGGGGAGGCGGATGGCGTGTGCATGTCTGGGGTGGAGGAGCAGTTCTGATGTGAGCCCCCTGGGACTCCAGCTCCTGGATTCCAGATCAAAACCCTAACCTGAGAGGGAAGCGGCGTCTCGCGATGTTTCCTGGCAGACACCCCTCAGCCTCAAACCCTCTCTTGCTGAATATAAGGCAGGGATGGGGGTGTAATCTGCACTGGGGGAAGGCTGCGATGCAGGTCCTTCTGCCAACAGGGCTCTCTCACTTCAAGTGGGGCAGGAGGGAGGGGGAGTGCTTTGTTTTCTAGGCTTGGGTTCGGGGCCGGGCTCCACAAGGACGTGGTTACCTGAGGCCTCTGGCTCCAATTCCCCAAGGGGGGCTGGGAGCCTGGGAGCCTGGGGGTAGGGCTTAGAGCAAAGCGCAGGGGGCTGTGTGTGAGCTCTCCAACTGCGCACTCTCTCCCACCACCCACCACTGTGACCCTCTGGCCACTAGGGGGGGCCATGGCCCAGCATCCATAGGAAGTGAGGGAGGGAGGGACAGGTCAGTTCTGAGACCCAAAGTGGCCTTGAGGCAGCGTGATGGACAAGAGGAGGGCTCAGTGGTATTTGCTTTTCATGAGGTTGGCCCAGCTAACTCAGGCCCCAGCAAAACCTGAGGGTCTTTGGGAGGCATCTAGCACCCTGCCGCTGCCCATTCAATCCTGGCCTTCTCAAGCAGGATGCCCAGCTCTCGAGGGCATTTAAAGCAGCTCTCAAGCCCCTACTACTCACCAGCACTGTGCCGGGCGTCGTAAGGGAGTTGGGATGAAGCGGGGAGACGGCTGCTTACACGGGGCACAGTAGCAAGGGAAAATGGCGGCCCTCGAGTCATGAAAAACTGGGTTTGAGCCCTCGCTTTGTAATTGGGTGAACTTAGCCAACTTATTTAACTTGAGCCTTGGCTTCCTCATCTGTAAAATGGTGATGATAATGGTACCGAGCTCATGGAGTTGTGGGGAGAATTAAATGAGAAAATGGGCGTAAAGCCTTTAGTGGAGCATCTGGTGCGGAGGAAACCCTCAGTAAAGGCAATTACTGTTATTAGAAGTGAACCATGCGAGTGCTAGCGTGGAGCCAGAGGCCAAGTGGCAAGGAGTCCCGGAAAAAAGGACAAATCAATCTGGTGAGAGAATCAGGGAAGGCTTCTTGGATGTGGTGACTAATGTGAGCCTGAAGGAAGGATAGGACGGCTATAGTTGGGGAAGGCCAGGAAGGGTGTACCAGGTAAAAGGATCTTCAATGAGGAAAGGCATTTAGAGCTCTTACTTTATTTTATTTAATCCTTGCTGCACAAATTGGCAGCCCCGGGTCTCCTCAGGGCACCTCTCTCTCCTACATGCCTACTTCCAGAAGCTCTCCCACCAACCAGGAACCCAACCCTGGGCTCCCTCGTCTTGCCCCTCCCCCTCTTCCTTTCTCTCTCACTCCACTTTTCCCCTCTCCTTCTTCCCCATAGGGAAACTGGCTCAGAGAGAGCAAGTAGCACGACTAGTGACCACTGCCCTGGGAGGCTTGGCTCCACCAGGGGCCGTTTTGCCTGGCACTGTCTGGAGAAGGGTGGTCGCGACTGGGTGACAGGGAGACTCTACTAGCTCCTAGTGGGTAGAGGCCGGGGATGCTACTAAACATCCTGTGATGCACAGGACAGCCCCCACAGCAGAGAACTGCCTTGTCCCATATGTCGCCCGTGCTGAGGCTGAGAAGCCTGGCTCATAGCCGAGAACTGCCGCTGGGGGGAAACTCGGCCCTCCCCCGCCCCCGCCCCCCGCGTCACATCTGCAAATCACCCCCCATCCCCTCCCTCATCGCTCCCCTCTATCGAGTCCGGCCCCGCAGCACCCTCTGGCCTCCCACTCCCACCACTCGGCGGCCTGTGCCCCTTCCCCTGGGGTCGCGCCCCCCTTTTATCCTGTCCCGCGGCAGGGGCTGCGCGGGCCCGTCAGGCAGGAGTCCGCCCGCGGGCTGCACGAGGCTTCGGGACCGAGCTGCCCGCGCACTCGGCGCTGCCGGCGCACTGATTGGCCGAGGCTGCTGTTTCCATGGTGATCCCCAGCAAAGCCCGAGGCTCCCCTTGCCAGCCCGCCCCGCCCCCCCCCCAGGCCCTATTCAGCGGCGAGAGCAGCGACAGGCAGGTTAATAAAACGGCAGCCGCGTGAGGAGCCGGGCTGTGGGCCGAGGTCCCAGCGTGGTGGCCTGCCCAGAGGAGGGCGGGGGTGGGGAGCCGGGAGCTGGCCTGCCGCCCAGTCAGCACCCTCCCAAGGCCAGCCAATCGAGGCGACGGTACCCACAGCGGGTGCCGGGGCTGCACCGGCCCTGGGGTGCTGGGGCTTTAGCCCCCTGCGGTGCCTCTTCCTGCAGCGGCCTCTGGGGGCAGTGTCCCTGCGGCCTTCGGGACCACTGCACCCCAAGTCTGGAATGGGAGGAATCCTGGGGGTGGGGATGGGAGAGGGAGGAGATGGGGATGGGGCAAAGGAGAGAAATGGCAGTGAAAGGTTGGACCGGGGAATCAGGAAAGAGATCGGGTGAGATGGGGATGAGGTGGGAGGGAAGTCGGGCTCGGGAAGGGAGAAAACGATGAAGGAAATATGGACGGAGCTGAGGGTCAGGCGGGGGGACGAAGGAAGAAGGTGGATGGAATGGAGGGTGGAGTCTGGCAGATCGTGGGGACAGAGATGAGGGCCACCATGAGGACAGAGGGGAGCTGGTGGAGGGTGCAGATGGGGTTGCTGGTAGCAGGTGGCAGGGAGAGACTGGGACGGGAGGGAGCGGAGGCGGAGATGACCAAGAACGGAGCAGGAGGAGATGGGCAGGCGCCAAGGGTGAGGTCAGGAGGCTGTGGGGACAGGCACAGCCTCTGGCTCACTCACCACTTAAGCCCCCCCCCACCCCCCGCCCCCAGGCTGGCCAGAGCGCCGCTGTAAGTAGAGGCTCGCTGCATAGCCTCTGATGCTCCCAACTTATCTGTGGAATGAGTTGCTCGTGTGGGAACTGGCGGGCCTGGGGTGCTGGGAGTGTGTTTGCACCGGAAGCAATGACCACGGTCCCGTGCTACTGTCAGCTGCCAATATCAACACTGATGGCTTCTCATTCAGTACTTGCAATAATTCTTTGAGGCAGACACAATTACCCTTTGACAGAGGTTCAGAGAAGTAGAGTAACTTGCCCAAGGCCACACAGCTCTGATCCCTGCCTCAGATATGGTGAAGACCTGCTCAGCTTCGGTGTCCAGACACGGGCATTTCTGGCCAGAGACCCAAACCGCACAGATTGGTAGCAGGAGAGGACAGGGAGCTCTCTGTCACAGGGGCTCAAGGATGCAGTCTGGCTGTGATGCTGAGCTGGGTGTCAGGCTTCTGGGTTGCCCTGCCCAACCCAGTGACTCACTGGCTGCTTGAGTCAGTTTCCCCAGCGGGGAGAGAGGCTGGGTTTGCTGCCGCGTGGGGGCATCACTGTGGTCCCAGCTCCCTCCCTGCGACAGACACCCAGAAACCCTGTAACAACACTTCCAGTGCCAGCCCTGAGGTCACCCATTGTGAGACAGGGCGCAGAGCCCACAGCCGGTGCCCGGGTCTGGAGTGAAAACAGAAGAGCTCGGCTCTGCCATCTGTGGTGTGGCCTTGGGGAGATGACTTAATTTCCCCGAGCCTCAGTTTTCCCATCTATAAAATGGAGGAAACTGTACTTTGCTGGGGTGGTGATGCAGATTAGAAGATGTCTGTGAGCCAACTGGCACAGAGAAAGTTCTCTGGAGATGCTGGGTCCCGGCTCCCCGGAGCCAGGGTGCCTCCTCAGACGCTTCTGTTTCTCCTGGGAAATGTGGGATTCCTTCTTCTGGGCCTCAGAGGGGAGAAGGGACCTCCTGCCGGCCTAGTGCGCCTGTGTGCGTGCTCACCACTGCCAGAGGACTCCGTGTGAGAGGTGGAAACCACATTTGCATAGGCCTAGAAAAAGAGGGGCAACAGGTAAGCCACATGTGGTCAGATTTCTTTTTTTTTAAATCTCCTGAGAAGGGATGGATGATGTATCCAGGCTGAAGGCATGAGGGGGGACTCTGCCCATCACATCACCTCCCCCCTACTGCCAAGGGAGCGAAGGCCGCTGAGAGAGGCCAGGCCAAGGGATGAGAGCACAGAGGCTTCCAGGCCCGCGCTGACCAGCCACTGCCCCTCCAGCCTGCTCCTGGCCAGTAGGACTGTGGGAGGCCCGGCCATTCCAACAGCTAGGAGCCCAGGCCTGGGAGGGCAGAGGCGGCTACAGCAACCTGAGCACTCGATAAGCCATTAATTCTTAATAAACGACAGGCTGTGCATTATTTAACAATAATGATACTTTCTGTTCCATTATAGATTAAAACACTGGCCTCTTCTTATTAATCCTGCATTTCAAAAGCTTGTAAATCCTGTGCAGCCGGAGGAGATAAAAGCCGGCTCATCCCCATCCCGGGGCTGACAGGCTTGCACCAACACAGGGTGGCTCAGTGGCCAGGCTTGTGTGCGCACACGCGCGTGCCCTGGGCCCACCCGCCGGCCACCAGCCACCAGCCGGGGTCATAGCCAGGAGAGAGGGGCACAGCTGCAGGTGGGGGGCGGCCTCCACTCTCCCAGTCTCCTGTCTCTCCCTTTCAGCATTTTTCTCTGATTTTTCTTTTTCTGTTTATCTTGCATCTCCCTCTCTCTGTACATTGCTCTGGTTTCTCTTCTTCCTTTTTCTTCTCCTCTTGTCCTCTTCTACCCACCCTCCCACTCACGGATCACCTTCCTCTCCCTCCTTTACCTTCACACCTTTTAACTGAACAGATCCACAATACGTACAGACTCTATTCCCATATGGTCTTTGCTTTTCTCAGGGGTCCTCTGAGGGGTGGGGTGGGGAGAAGGGAACAGAACTCCGAGAAGGAAAAGAAGGAGTACAGAAAAGAAGGGTGGGGCAGAAAACCCTGAGACACCCCCACGCCGGCAGGCTGGGCAGGTTCTGATCCTGAGCCCTCCTGACTCAACCCTGAGAGCTGCACAGTGCAGTCCTGAGGGATGCTCAGTGCCCCTCCGTATTACCTCCAGGCTCTGTGTACACTCCCCTCAGGGACAGGAAACTCACTTCCTCAGGAGGCAGCCCCTTTTATTGCAGCAAAGCTCCTCTCACTCAAGAGAGCCTTCAGTAGGAGCCCATATTCACCCCCAGTCCCCCTCTAGCAAGTGATAGGCCTTCAGGAATCTGAAGCCAGCCATTCCAGCCCCCAGAGACCCCCAGTCTCACTGACTGAACATTCCTCTAGCCCTCAAGGGTCAGAGGGTTGAGTTCCCTCTTCAGCCTGGTTCCCCTGGCCCTGCGTGTCAGAGAACTGTTAAAGGTGGCCCCAAAGCTGGCCACAGCCCTTTTCGTGGTGCAACCAGAACAGATGTCAGTTCGACCCGCCTCCCAAGTGGGGATCACAAACCATAACTGAAGACGTGGGAAGAAAACTCACTCTGATCTTGAACGTCTCTCCAAGGTCATTGTAAAAAATACTGTGTGTCATCAGTTACTGAACTTTGACTACACACTAGGTGTGCCTTTTATATCCCTTATCTCATTCAGTCCTGTGAGGTCCATTCTAATGTTATTGCCATTTTGCAGATTAAGAGACAGACTTGGAGGTATTAAGTTAACTTAGCCATGGTCACACAACTAAGTAAGAGGTGAAGCCAGAATTTGAACCAGATACTGTCTGACTCTGAAGCATTTAGATTCAGTCGGAGACTGCAGCCCTAGAGGGCTAACCTCAGATGTTCTCCCCAGCTATTTGGGACTAAAAGTGTCTTCTTGGTCCCCTAGGCCCCCAAAGTCAGGGGGACTGGTGTCCCTGAAGCTAACCTGTCTCCAGGATTGGACTAATAGTGTCCCACTGTGGGCTTTCCAGGTAGAGACAGATTAGGTGGAGGATTCCTGGAGGCTCTACTTGTACACGTTGGACATTTCTTTAGGTCAAGGTAAAAGAGATGGTCCCTAAGACCTACTGATGGCTCCCATGCGAGCCAGGCTCTATCATCTTCTTAATCCTCACTACAATATTGTGCAAGGGGTATTAGCCCAATTTTAAATAGTGGCAAACTGAGGATCAGAGCAGTTAAGTCAATGGTATTCATGCTAACCCCTTCCTCAGGAGTCTTGGAGCTTGACTGTAATGCTCCTTCCTCCCTTCTTTCCCTTTTTTCTTTTAAGTAATCTCCACCCAGCATGTGGCTTAAACTCACAACCCTGAGATCAGGAGTCACACGCTCTGCCAACCGAGCCAGCCAGGTGCCCCAGACTGTGATGCTTCTTTAGAGTTGTGTGGGTGCGTGTGCATGTGTGAGTGCGTGTGTGTGTGTGTGTGTGTGTGTGTGTAGAGGGTAAATGAGAGGAACAGGGATTGGCTTTAAGATATACCGAGTTGGGGGCACCTGAGTGGCTCAGGTGGTTAAGCATCTGCCTTCGGCTCAGGTCATGATCCCGGAGTCCTGGGATCAAGCCCCGCATCAGGCTCCCTGCTCAGTGGGGAGCCTGCTTCTCCCTCTGCCTCTGCCTCTCTCTCTCTCTCTCTCTGACTCTAATGAATAAATAAATAAAACATTTAAAAAAAAAAAAAGATATACCGAGTTGGACAGGGGAGGTGAGCAACTTTCTTCCTTTTTTGAAATACACGAATGGGAAATTTAACTTGATCCCTTGTGGTTTCTGGGCCAACCCCTGAGTGAAGTCAGAAAGCTTTTGCAAAGGAAAATTTTATCCATTTTCTGGTTTTTATGGGGCTTCCTCAATGAGCATAACCTCTCCTGTTGGTGCTTAGAGAGGATTTCTTTGCGTGCCCCACAGTGACGCCGTGTAATCTCCCAAAAATATGGTACTAATATTCGCCGGGTTAGGGTTAGTTATTTTTTATGTCTTTGTCATTTTGTTTCTGGGCAGCTCTTTCTGTCGCCTGGAAAGGACACGGCGGACACTTTATTTCCAGAGTCATATTTTTTAATTTGATCAAAGCAAATTTCACTCGTTCTCTGTATAAATTATTTAACTAATTTCTTTTAGGTTAAATGTCTCAATAGGAAGATAGAAAGTCTTTCCATCACATTTTCTTCCAGGATTTTAATCAGCTCCTCTAGATTGTATGAACTTCTTGCTCATCCTCCATCCTTCTCTGTCTTCACGGCTCCCTCCCTCCCTGCCCCCCCCAACCATTCCTCTCCACACTCGGCCCCCAACTCCTCCTGGGCCCCCTGGCCCCATCCCTGCTCCCGTTCTTCTATGACTCTGGGTAGGAGGAATGGGGGGGCAGTTGGAACATGCAGGGCCCTGCAACACACAGCGAACCCCTCCAGTTGGACAAATTACCAACAGGCACCTTTGCTCTGGGCAGACATGGCCCAACAGGCCCCAGGTGGCCAGCAGAACGAGGGCTAAGAGTCAGGCCCTGCACGGCCCCTGAGCCGTCTATGCAACCCCAATTCCTGCTCCCCCATTCTTCCCCCCAGACCTGTAGTCGCCTGCCGAATTTAAATGCAAGAGACTCTCCCCAAATTCCAGCTCTGTTTTCTAAAGAAAAATTCCATCTTACTCTCCCCAAATTCCAACTCTGTTTTCTAATGAAAAACTCCATCTTACTCAATCAATTGCTCCTTGTCACAGGCCGGTTTCCTCAGTGTCTTGTTATTATTATTATTATTTTTTAAGATTTGTTTATTTAGTTGAGAGCAGGGGAGGGGCAGAGGGAAAGATTCTCAAGCAGACTCCCCGCTGAGCGGGGAGCCTGTCGCAGGGGCTCCATTTAGCAGCCCTGAGATTCTGACCTGACCTGAAAGCAAGAGTCGGGTGCTCAACTAACTGAGCCACCCAGGCACCCTTCCCAGTGTCTGATTTCCCAGGTCTGGCTCCCTCAGCCCCAAGCCTGATGCCTCACTCGGATACTAAGTGCAGGGCTGGGGGTGGGGGCTGAGAAGTGGGTTCTGCAGAGGAGGGAGGGGCTGGGCTCTGTCGGGGGCGGGGGGTGGGGGCAGCCTCTCGAAGCAGCCCCATCTCTGGCCCCAGGCCCTGTCAGGAGGAGCCAGAACCAGCAGAGCAAGCTCATTCCCAGCCCCTGCCTACACAGACTCTCCCTCCCTCCACATCACATTGTTTCAGCCCAGAACAAATCTCCTGTGGGAATTCCCTTTTCTCTTACTTTTAAAACATACAGTAATTAACAAACTAATGCTATGAACTGCGACAAGAGGAAATTCCAACAAAATCACTGCAGAGTCCACAAGCAGTGGGTCTGGTGGCAGGTCTCAGCTCAGTGTGGAAGGGAGGAGCCCCGCCTGGCCCTGGTGTCATCATCATCAGGGCTGAGGGACCCTGGGGGGAGGGGCTCTGAGTCCTCAGCAGGTCCATCCAGGACTCCGGTACAGCTGCAGTATTTCCTGTGTAGGAAGAGTCAGGATCCCGGCCATTCTTCCAGGCCCGGAGGTTTGCTCTTTTATGGAATCCTTAAATAATAGAGCTGTGGCCTAAAGCTGACCCGGGCAGGTCTGCAAGGCCACGGCCCCTGCTCCGGAACAGGCCCAGTGACTTCCCTTGAAGGTCAGACAAGGTCTGAAAGGCCTCGGGGGGACGTGGCTTGAAAGAGAGCCTGGGCGAGGATGTGCTGGACAACTGGGGTCTCCTCCCCTGGCGCCGCAGAAGCATCCTCAGGATCACCCTATCCGTCCTCTGGCTGTGCTTCGGGCACAGTCAGGCTGACTGTCTCCGTGAGGGAGACTTTGCTCAGGTACAGCCAAGGACCCCCGGAAGGAGTGGGCTCGTTGCCGCCTGACTGTCTGGAAGTCTGTTTGCAGTCGGACTTGAGACCTTGATACGTCAGCACTGTGTCATTTCCTCTGGTGAGTTCTTAGCAAGCCTGGTCCATGAATTCCAGGGGCCCTTCCCACCCTTGCCTCCTCTTCTAGGTTTCACCATGTCCCCTGTTGTCCTTTGAATCTCCTTCCGCCATCAGGCAGCCAGGGTGAGCAGGAAGGACAACCTGCTCTCATTCTCCCTCCCAAGATTTTGTTTTCCCTTGCAAACTGACAAATATCTGCTTGGAGCTTTTAGAACTTCTGTTCAGTAACAGAGGTTGTTTTATTATCCCCACTTTACAGATGAAGAAACCAAGGCTCAGAGAGGTTAAGTGACTTGTTCGAGATCACACAGCTGTCAAGACGCAGCATCAGGACTCAAGTCGCACATTATGCTTTCCCGTAGGACTGTCTTCCTTGACGCCCCTTGATTCTCAGGTGAATGAATACTCCAGGTGAGAGGACATAAAATCAACTTTCCTTTCTCTCTGTGACCAGGCTGGGCCTGGGGAATGAATAAAAAAAGGAAAAGAGAGCTCATCTCACTTCCCCCTTACAGGAGCGTTATGAGTTGGATGCTATCCTCACACAGGTTATACACATGGGGAAACTGAGGCTTGGAGAAGGGTAGCGCTCCGCCCCAGGTCACAGGGCTGCTGGTAGTCAAGCCAGCACTTAAAGCAGGCCTGTCTGACTCCAGAGCCCACCCCTGCCTTGAGCCACTTGCCGGAAGAGTGAGACACACTGACTTGAAGTCAGCGACAGTGAGTCCAGCCAGGGTGAGCGGGGAGTCCGAGAACCTCATTAGGAGTGAAGCTGCCATACATGTCAAAAACCCCGGCTGCCCAGCCAGCCCCACTCGGCTTCCAGCGCACAGTGTAAACATCCTTACTAATTCACCAAACTCAATCACGTTACCGTGATGGATTTTCCCATCATTACTCCTGAGTGAGTGACAACCTGCTCAGACACTTGCCTTCCCCGCTGCCTTCGGAGCATTTCAGAAATCAGAATGCTTTGCTCCCTAAGTTGATTTCAACTTGTCCTAAAGTCATTTTAATTGGTGAAGCATCAGAGGCAATTTGGGTAACTTTCTGAGAGCCCTGTTCCGCCGGCACTGAGCTGGGGGAAGGGGGGGTCTCAGAGGCCACCCTGGCCCCGGGGTGGCACTTTCCCCTCCTCTGATTGGTCAGGAGACTGCACTCCACGCTTTATTTTCATGTTTCTTGCTGAGGTTCCTACCGCTGGTTCCTGAGGATAACAAGATTCATTTTCTCAATGGCTCTGACAGATAGGATTGTTATTGTTATTACACTCATATACCACCTTCCTCCGAGGAGTTTAAGGCGCTTTACAAATTTGAAAATTATCTAATAATCTTCCAGCAACTCTGAGAGAGGGGGAGAAGTTGCAGCCAGAGAACCCCCACACCCCTCACTCTGAAGACTGGGAGGGAGGGCGGCTATGTTGGGTTGGGGGCGCTTGGGGCCGGGAGCCTCTGAAGGTCTCTTTCCCCCTTTCGAATAAGGAAGAGGAAGATGTCTGGGTGGGAAGAGGGGGAGAGGAAGGAAAAGAGAGAGGGAGGGAGGGAGACAGGCCCAGCTCCAAAGGACAAAATCCAAAGGGAGGAAGCTCGGGCAAGGAGAGTTTTCTTTAAAGACACAAGAAATGAGATGAAGCAGGAGGCTCCCAGGGGCTTGCGGGGAAGAGAGCCGAAATTCAAAATGGAAATCTACCAAAGCAGCACTAGGGTGGTTGCTCAGGCATGAGAACACGGGCAGAAATATCACGAGAACCCAAACTGCAAATTTAGGTGGCTGCTTTTAGGTGGGTGTGGGAAGCCTCTGTGGACCTTTTTTTTTTTTTAACCCGCAAGCTGAGAGGGGTGGCATTAGGTCTCTCCCAGCCTGGCGTCCTATGATTCGGTCTTCCTTTAAATTTCCTCTTGCCAGAGGTGGTCCCAGTCACGGCAGCACCTTTACTAAGCGTGAAGGGAAAGCTACTATCAAAATGATGGAGGACTCAACTGTATTGCCATTCTTTTCTTTTCTTTTTTTTTTTTAAGATTTTATTTATTTATTTGACAGAGAGATAGACAGAAGAGCACAAGCAGAGGGAGTGGCAGAGGGAGAGGGAGAAGCAGGCTCCCCTCTGAGCAGGGAGCCCAACTTGGGGCTCGATCCCAGGACCCCATGATCATGACCTGAGCCA